TGATGTGTGGATGAGTGGTGTGTGGACAACTGATGTGTGGACAGATTATGTTGGGATGGTGTCTATATGATCTTGTGGTGATGAAACGGTGATGTGTGGTTGAATTTTGCATGGACGGATGAGATTGCAGGATGAGAGTTTTGTCCACTCATATTATCAAATGGATTACTGTAATGTTCAACATTGTATTAACATAAATGAGAGATCTCTGTAAGCTATAAGTTCATTAATATTAAAAGATGAAGACACATTGTAATATATATTCAACTTACTTAATTTCTAACATCCACATCTAATCCAATGTTTGTCCAAACTCCTTTGCCTTTGTTCATGTGATCTGTTCAAATTCAAAGCAAATAGATTAATTCAAACAAAATGTTGCAAGTACTAATACTTTTTATTCATGTCAGTTCTCTCGATCTGTTGACTTCATTTCCTTTCAACGGTCGGCCCGTTAATTTTTCCAAAGGCTCAAAATCATTTTTTATTAACCCTGCAATTACCACTCCACCTTTCTCCGTGTTTTGGTCTCACTCGCATGGTATCGCGAATCACTTCCCGATAGGTTACCCATCCTTTCACTTCTCCAGCCCAAGAACACTTAACTCTAAAGTTTTAAACGGATGTTTGACGGAAAAGGTAAGTCAACTTTGGTGACATAGGTAGCCAAATCAATTCTCTAAATCTTTCTGTAGATCCTAAAATCAACACTAAGTATTTTGTAGTGATTAAGAGTTAAATCTTGAGTAAACAAATGATGTAGCCAACAATGCTCTTAGAACACAACTACACAAGCGGAATTTGGTTGACAAAATTTGAGTTTTTTCATTCAAAGCGGGATGCTTGCTAGACACAGAAGTTTTGAGAATTCAAGAGAAGGTCTTAGGATCCAGCCGCACCTTCCAGTATGGCTACCTTGTTACGGTTCCTCCTTTGCTCACTTAACTAATACCTAATGGGCTAGACCCGGTCATTTTACCGACGTCGTGTAGTCTTACACTGGTTATCCGACTTATGAACGTGGTCCTGCGAGTTTCCTCGATGACTTGATCGATGTCGGGGGCCAAGCTCGTTGCCATATGTACGATCGCATGTATTCTTTTAAGTTCATCATTTCTTTCAACGTAATTTCTGAATTCTCCTGCTTAGCTCGAGGATCGTTGATATCTCCCTATGGATTTTTGTGAAAATATCTAAAAGGATCATATCCTTTGGTGGGGCCCAGCGGCGCCGTGAATCCGGTTCGTTGCGGTATGTCTGTTCCAACTTCTCGAGTTCGATGTTGTGCTGGAGACGTTTGAATCCTGGGGTCTTCGCGTCCTCCGGTGGGCCTGCTCTGATTTCTAATCGATGTGGTTCTAAAACCTTGCATCTTGTTTTCAATCTCGTCTTGACCGTTGTAATCTAGGCTTTGATAGGTCGTTCCCTCCGGTGGGGTATGTTGCAAAATTTCCCCCGCGTAGCGTCCTGATCGGGCGCTAGTAAGCTCGGGGGAAGCGAATGTTCCGCGGCTTGGAGGGAGTGGCGTTCGCAGGGATGGATCCGAATGTTTTCAAACCCTTTCCCTGGGGCTCATTCGGTACTTGGCGAGTTTCCTCTCAGCTTGTTCAAAACGTTTCGCGATGGTTCGGTGAGCGATCTCTTGATCGCAGGATTTATAAATGAGTGTTGAGACCATTCCCATGAGTTCTGATATCACTCAAATTACGCTAAGGAGTGAATTACTCTCTCAAATAAGAGGTTCAACTGTAGTACTTAGGGATCGAATCCACAAGGAGCTAGGGCACACACTAGATCTAATAGTTATATTAAGCTAGGCAAACAGCAGCTTATAATTAATAAAACAATAAATAAATATTAAAGCAGTAGATAAATTAATAAAAAAGATGAACAATATAATTTTTCAGCTTGGCAAAGAGTGTTTTGATGGAAAGATGGTTGCTAGATCTAGGGTTTCTATTCAGGCATTGGGATTATAATCCTATAGGTGCTATTCAGTTGCTTGTGAGATACTATATAGCATTAACTATCTTGATTACAAATTACTTAAACTAATGTTCCAATAAATAAGTCTAATGACCAGATGGCCGCGATTGACAGTGTAGATTGATTATCTAGAGGACAATCGACCGATACACTAAACTCATTATCAACCGATTTCTGCTAGGAAGATCAATCGATGACTCCGGTAAAGCAATACACACGAGTTTAGTCACTAAAGATTTCTAAATCAAATTATGCAATTATGTTTCTAACAAATCCTAACTTGATAAATATTTGTTCAGGATATCTAGAATCACTTAAATGTCTTTAATCTAACCTAAATAATCCAGGATTCAGTGTTTCTAGTTAGCTACTCTAGAACCATGAGCAGTTAAAACAATTCTATCAATGAGTATCACAACTAACAATCCTATAGTTGGGTCTAATCTCTCTAACTTATTTAAACCCTAAAATTAACAGGTGGATGTACTCTAGCATGAAGTTTGTCACAAAAGTCATGGATGAATAGATGTAAAATATAAAAGCAATAAAATAGATAAACTATGAAAACCAAAGAAACAAAGGAATTAAGAGAGTTCCAGGAGGACTCTGTTAGGAGTTTCTCCCTTCTCTCCTAAAACTTAGAACAAGAAAATAGAAAAAGAGCATAGTCGTCAACAATGGCTTACAAAACAGATAAATAGGGTTTCTGATCGTCCAAGGGTATTCTGGCAATTTGGGATTCTTCTGGGCTTAAGTCGATCTTGAAACATACTCGGTCTGCATTCTGTGATATCCATTGATCAACACACATAGTGTTCCATCGATCGATTCTTCTTCAACTTCTCGACAGCTTCTTCTCGCGAGTCAGACTAGCCACGCTTCAGTAAAATGGGGATAACTTCCTCTACAGGAAGCCGATTGACCTCAAACTGGTGGCATTGGAAATCTAACTCAAAGCTATATTTTTTGTAAAAATATGGGCGAAATCTAACGGTGTAAAAGTCTCAATCCATAGCTAAACATCTGATGCGTCTGTGCAGTTCTACACTCAAAAGACTCCAAAAGACACCAAAATCACCATATTTCTCCAGAACGTACATGAACCTGTAAATACTCCTAAATATATCTTAAGAAACTTATATACCATGGCTAATAATGGGTAAAATCAATGGTATATCAAGTTCATCGACTTCTTCTCGGGTCTGGGTTAGATGGATTGGAGATCTCGGTCTTATCGGTCGGATCGGATCTTAAGTTGTTCTTTATGTCGTACGGTTCCAAACTAGAGATCCGATTTGTTCAATGAGGGGATTTCGATATGGGATCGTACTATTATCGGCGATCGAAGTCTTTGTCAGCAAAGTTCGTTGACTTTGGATCATGTCGGTGGTTTCGCTGACGTTCGTTTGTTCAATGGATGTCGTTTCGGCTCCTAGGGCGGTAGCGGCGGGATTGACATCTGTTGATCTCGATGGAGAGTTCTCGACGTTGGTTGCGTTGGGATCCATTATCGTTCTTAGAGATCCTAGATTGGGTTCTTAGCAAGGGTGTTTTTCGTTTATCTTCTCCATAGTTGGCGCTAAAATGTAGATCCTAAAATATACACTAAGTATTTTGTAGTGATTAAGAGTTAAATCTAGGCAAGAAAAATGATGTGGGAACCAATGCTCTTAGAACACAACGACACAATCGGAATTCGGTTCACAAAAATGGAATTTATTGATGTGAGGTTTGCTACAAAACAGTAATCGCGATCGAGAATAACAAAGAGATATTGAAGTTATAAATGAATAAAAGATTAAGAACTGAGGTCGATGAGAGTTATGGTAATCGCTAGGGTTTTCCATATGTCTTGTGCTTTTCTCTAACTCTCCTTTTATAGTTCATTTCTTGGCCGGTCTCTCGCAACTATCTCCGCGATCTCCGGGATATCGCTTCGATCTCGTCAGGCTCGATGTGGGTCGAGTTGATTACCGATGGTGATGTATGGGCTTGGGCCCGTCTAATTCTTTACCAAAATTGGTTCCTACATTTTCAATATATCACAACTCGGGACGTTACAATTCACTACTTCTCAATGAACGCAACATCCTCGTTGCGCTCCACGACATGTCTCAAGACGCCTCTCGGGTTAGAACCAAGATGGCTAACCATCTCTGATACCATTGTAATGCCCGACCGTCCACGGCTAATAGACCACTCACATCCGCTCTCGCGGCTCGTGGACCCCACTTCATTCCGTTAATATTTCCAAAGGCTCGAAATTATTGTTTACTGTCCCTGTAATCACCAACCGACATTTCCGGTGCTTTGGCATCACTCGCACGGTATCGCGAATCACTTCCTGCGATAGGTTAGCCATCATTTCACTACTCCAGTGCAAGCACGCTTAACTCGGGAGTTCTAAACGGATGTGTGAAGGAAAAAGTAAGTCAACTTTGATAACATAGATAACCAAATCAATGATGTTGCTTTCCATATATCACATTTTGGGATGTTACACTCAGGGTAGGCCCTGACCTAAAGCTGGGAAGCACCAGCTTTAGGTGCCAAATTAGGATATATATTTATGGGCATCAAAACTGCTTAAACGTACATGTATCCTAGTGATTGTGTGCTGATTAACTGAGTTTACGATACCTGGTTCGGACAACAGAGGGTGCCAAATTTTGTTTTTGCTTTAGGCACCAATCTACACTGGGCCGGGCCTGGTTACACTACAGGTCTTCTAGTACCTTGGGATGTTATAGCCGAATAATTAAAGACCCTTTGTTCATCAAGGTGAAATCATCACGGTTATGTACCTTATAGTGGATGTACAAGAATACAAAGACTTTTCAACGACTTGATTATATTATTTTTTGCATGCTTGGCAACAAGCTAAAGCATGGATGTTGATTGGTACGCACGTTCAGACATTTTATTTATTGCCCAGAGCAAGTCAATGACTTGATCCGATCAAATAGTGTGTTTGCTGCTACCCCAGTTATCTTCCTCATTTTCTTCTACTAAATTTCATAGTGTCTAAGATAATCGTTGAGTGCGTGTTTCCAAGTTTTATGTTCTGTATATCCTTTTGGATCTCAATTTAAAAAACGAATTGAATAAGTAAGTTTACGATCTAAATTTCTCAATCTGGTATTTAAAACATGTTCCTTACCAATTCCTATCGATTGATGTCTTATTTTACTTCTTGACATAGATTTTATCAACTCGGATATGGCCTTGGGATCTTCTGGTTCACAACCACGTCTATCTAGGGCTTCACGGCGTCGCAAAAGATCTAACCAGCAAAGTATAGAAGATTCAAAGGCTGGCATCAAATTTCTTGTGTGGGCTGCGATTATGGCTGCAGCTGTGACATTTGTTATGGGTTTCACATGTACAAAGCTTTATATCAATTCTGCTCCAGGTCCAGGTTTGGTCAAGAAAGTAATACTCATGGTTTTTCTGGTGTGCACCAGCATTTCACTGCTCAGTTCTGTTGTAGCACTAACGCATCTCATTTGGGGACAACGCCAAAGTGATTTTCAACTTATACAGAAAGCTATGCTACGAGCCATGGCACTTGTCACAGTTGCTTTTGTGTCTATTTTGGTGGCTTTTATGGTTGGTGTTTGTCTTGTTTTGATTCATCTCCCATGGCAAACCTACTTTTAATGTTTCCCAATTATAAGATTTGTCTGACAAATTTTCTTTTTTTCTTTGTTTTTGGATGCTTTTTTTGGTTGATGGCTTAAAAATGATGTGTCTCAAAAAGAAGTTATTGTGAACACTATAGAAAGTGTTTCAAATGAAACAAGTTGATGATGTTCATGCTTAAGACATCTCTTCTTTTGTAACATTAGATCCATAAAACATAAAGCAATCGATGAAGAAGTTTAGAAAAAAAAAAAAAAAATTTACCAAAATAGAATAAAAATTCACCATCTTTGTCCCTTAGCATAAATTTCTGAGAAATACATCTCATATACACACATAACCACTATATTTGCAAAAATGGAAAACACACTATTATGTTGAGCTGTTTTTTAGTTGCCATTTTACCCCTACTCATCTTAACAAAACCTATATTTACTCTTTGTACTAAATTTTTGTTACTTCAATTTAAAAAAAAAAAATTATTTAATTTTTTCCTTAATTCAACTATCTATATGTTCTCTTTTCCTATTTTCGTAGTGTAGAACCAAATATTTGCTTCTCATATCTCTATTTTCAGGTGTTTGTTTATCTCAATATATCGTTTAAATGAACAGTGACTACTGTTTTTCTTCTTTTTTGTCAAAATAAGATTTAATTCTTCTGAAAAATATCATGTTATGCTCAATTTTTCTAGGTTTCTCTCCATCTTTAAAATCCTGTTTTTTTTTCTTTCTATTTCTGAATTTTGTACTTTAATTCATTCTAGATTCAAAAGACGTTGCTAGCTACATTAATGGAGAAAGCTTCCTATAATATCTATGGATCTTACATTGAATTCATGGAAATAGTTCCTTCTCCTTCAACTTTCAGTGTATGTCATTTCCAAAAAAAACAGACCACATTTACAAGTAGAATGCGTCATGAACAACTTATTCTCTTCTTCATCATCTTGAACAAAATTTGATTATGCTCATTCCTTTAATTGGACCAGCACTCAGCTTCCTTCTGCCCAAACTTCTTGCAATATCTACACTGAATATTTTTCTTGAACTAAACTTAATCCTTGTATCCATTGCTATGATAAGTTTGATCTTCATATGAATCTTGGTGTTGATTCTAGTCATTGAATCCACATCTTCCTCTTCTATAACCACGGCCACGACCATGATATCCACCTCTGTCTCTGCCTTGACTTCCATAATATCCAGATCTTCCATTTTCTGAAGAATCTTCATTCATTTGAAAAGTTTTTTCACCTTTTTGATTGGCTTTGCTAACTTGATCTTCATGAGTCATCGATCAAAGAATTCATCAAATGTGTATATGTTAAGTCATTCGACTCAATGATTGCTGGAACCATATAGTCAAACTGTGATGATAAACTCCTCCGCACCTTCCTCACGATGCTTTTGTCGGTGGAAAACATACCATAAATCTTCATCTGATTCACAATCGAGGAGACTCTAGCCAAATACTCTAGAACAGTTTTTTTCTTCTCCATACACAAAAATTCAAACTTTTGCCGTAAAGTTTGTAACTTCACCATAATCACCTTTTGTGCTCCTATATACTCCTTCTTCAGAATCTTCGAGGCTTCATGATATGTATTTGCTGTAGAGATCCTTAAGAGTATATCATCATCCAATTTCGTTGGGATGAAAAACAATGCCTTTACATCTTAATTTCTTCTCTCTTGTATAGGTTGATCAGGTTCTTCTGGATTGTAATCTTCAAACCAGATTCGACCATATCCCATAGTTCATGCGATCAGAACATAGTCTTCATCTTGAGACTTTATAGATGATGCTTTTTACCTTTGAAAATCAGAACAAGAGCATGCCTCGAAACATTGCTCGCCATCGTTTCGTTTTCTTCTTTTTAAGATGATTGAAACCTGAATTTTTATTTTGCTTTGATACCACAATTGTTAGAGATTTCAGAGAAAGGAAGCGTTTCTGAAATATTACATTGATTGATTTTAGAAAACTTAAAGAAGAAAATTACAAAGTACTAAATATATAAAGAAATAGATAACTATCCACTAACCCATGATATTAAAAGATAAATACTAAACTCCTATTCTCTAAGAAATAATCCATGTAGCCTTAAGCCACAAACACATTCTTCCTAAAATCTAGATTGACTTTGAATCGATCAACATATATTGCTTGTATAAGATGCTACAGGTGATTTTTCATCCAATATATGAGTGAACGACAGTTTAAAAAAAAATTTCTATTTCACCAATTGAAATATATATATATTTTACCAATTGAAATATTATTCAAACCACCATGAATCTTTATAGTTCTAAAATGTTTTTAGTATTGGTTATGTAATATTTTATTTATTAGTTATCGTTGAGAAGAATCTCCTTTTCTCCTCCATTAATGAGGTCTCATTCTTCAAAAATGCGTCTCCTTGCCCTGAACTGAACAAGAGGTGCAACTTCCGTTAAGACAGTTTGGTTTGGATTATCATTTTAATTTTTTTTTTGGATAATTTCAAAATTTAAAATCCTATCAAGACTAACCAAACTAAACTGAAAATTGCCTGATTTAGCTTGATAACCAGTTAATTCAGATATTATGTTTTAAATTAATATAATTTATGTTTTTGTATTTTATAAAATAGTTAAATTTGGTTAGTTGTATTAGTTATATAGTTTTTTTTTGTTTCAGAAGCTTATGTATATTTTTTTTGCAGTACAATTTGGTATGATTCAGTATACCTCGGTTAAGATAAGTTATACAAACCATAAAAACGATTGGCGTTATGCTCCTAGAAACTGTGGAGTGTAAGAAATACATATCGAATCAAAAAGTGCAAAAGTCTATCTTGTATTGTGAAAGAGATGCATATGTTATGAAACCGAACTAGGGAGAAACACATCTGGAGAGGGTCTTTTCTTAAACATAACGAACTTATATTAAGTAATCAACCACTAGAAGATTGTCAGGAACGACCGGTGGGTGAAGATTACGTGCGCGAGGAAATCGCATGAACCAGCCAAGGGCGTTGACACCTTTATTTGTTTTTTTTTTCAACTAGACAACTTTATTTATATTTTGACCCATATAATTTTTGGGCTAGATCCTCCCCTGGAACCAGTTACTCTGGCAATGGAATGAGATGTAATGGCAACCGAGGAAACGAGGTGAACACCATCCTCAAATGGCCACCATCAACGGCTGAGAACGACAATTGATAACTTGAGAATAGTGAAGCTACCTAGCTGAACACGCTGGTGTAATCAACCATTTGAAAAGAGTAATCAAATGAGTAATCAACCATTTGAAAAATAGATGATTTCTTGATTCCACTGTCATTCAATGCCTAATTATCATATCACTGTATTTTAAAAGAATTAGCATCAAAATTTCATGAAAGACTAAATCATTGTGTTTCTTGAAAATGATCACAATTTTTTTTTTTTGTAATATCCATGAATGTTCAGTCTTGTTTTACCAGTTTTTTCTGTAATATCCATGAATGTTCAGCCTTGTTTTACAATTTTCTTTATTCTTATTCGTTTTAAGTTAGTCAAATATTCAGGTTTTAGATTTTTTTTTTTTTTTTTTTTTTGGTAAAATGTTAATATTCAGGTTTTAGATGTTCATGAAACAATAAACATTTCGACAAACGAATGGCCCAAAAGCAAAGTTTCATATAAGTTCCTTTTTTGATGTTAAGAAGTGGACACTAAATGGAGTAAATAGCTATGTAAGAATTTGACGTTAAGAAAATAATAATCCAATACAAGCCTCCGTTACTAATCTTTAAAAGGATAAGTTTGTTTGCACTACACGGCATCTCTTTAATTGCATAAAGCAAGCCATAGAAGTATACGAAAATGCGTGATGGTTCATTAGCCGTGCAGTGATGATGATGGTGACTATGGTGCCGTAAGAAAAGTAACAGGTGTGGGCGCAGGCATGGTTGTAGCAGCATGACTTTCAAGCCATATGAGAATTGAATTAATAGTAGGCCTTTTGGAAACATCCTCTTGAACACACAATAAACCTATGTGAACGAGCTTCATTACTTGGTCTACTGAGATGTTGTTACTCGGCGCAGCCAAAGGATCGATGATCTCTGCATATTTTCCTTCACTCCACTTCTTCCATACCTGTACAGATTTTTTAACATTTCAATATCTTTAAGAAGAAAAGAAAAATGATGATGATCAATATTCAAAATATGTGAAAATCTTACAAAATCTAGAAGCCCTTCTTGTTCTTCCTCTTCTTCTTCTTTCAAGTTTTTGTTTCCTTTGCCACTTATCGTTTCTAGGAGCATAACACCAAAGCTGTAAACATCAGATTTAACTGAGTATTGTCCATATGTCGCGTATTCTGGAGCCATATATCCACTGCATTTACCAAATCACATTAAATAGAACTGTTTATAGAAGAATCTTAAGAAAGAAAAACGGAGCATACTTACTAGGTTCCAACTACTCTGCTTGTCTCTCCTCGAGTCTGGTCCATGTTGAAAAGCCTTGCCATCCCAAAGTCTGCAACTTTAGGGTTCATCTCAGCGTCTAAGAGAATATTGCTTGCCTTCAAATCGCGGTGTATAATCCTCAGCTGAGAATCTTCATGGAGATAAAGAAGCCCTCTTGCAACTCCTTCTATAATTCTGTACCTCACATCCCATGTAAGAAGACAACGTTTGGCTTCATCTGTAGATATCCAAGAATTTTCATATTTGATTTTTTACAAAAATTATTTTAACAAAAATGGAAGGGTCTAGTAAAGGAAGGCGCACCAAATATGAAGTGGTCAAGGCTTGAATTGGGGACAAATTCGTAGACAAGAATCTCTTCTTCTCCCTCATTACAAAACCCAAGAAGCTTAACAAGATTCCTATGTTGGAGTCTTGTCAAGAGTAAGACCTCATTTCTAAATTCCATATCTCCTTGTCCTGAACCTCTTGTTAATCTCTTTACCGCTATTTCTTCCCCGTTCGGTAACACCCCCTAAAAACCAATGTAATTCTATATGATCACTGACCCATCTAAATATTTTTTTAAGACTTATAGGTTT